CTGCTCCCCGCAAAAAGCAAGGGGATCTTTCCATAGAAAATAAGATCTGTGTCAAAGCAGGTTGATTGTGCTAACATGTTTGTTCAGCAGTATAATCTCCACCAATTTTGAAGCGGAAATGCAATCAGTAGTTCAAAGCTAAAGGCGGCTTATGTTTGGCGTGATGCTGTTTACTAGTCTCACTTGTTAGCATCGGCTGTCTTTATGACACATACACGATTCAGACACTCATCAGTGGGGTATTTACTGACGTATGTTATGTTCCAAAACATGAACATTTCTTCTGCTTGTCTTAACCACATACCTTATTTCAGGCTAACCAAAACATGTTTAAAAAAAGCATTGACTTCAAGATGAAGGCACTGGAAGTGTTCAAATGCTGACCAGCTCTGGGTTTCAGGACTCATTCCTGCACCACTCTATAACAAATCAATAGCTCGCTGACCTTGCCATCAGAGTTGTCGTAGAGCTTGACGCTTGGCCAGGAGGAGACGTCAGAGTGCGAGTAGCTGCAGAGTTTGGCCTGCAGGGGGCTCCAGGAGGCGCAGTAGGTCAGCTGCTCAAAGTCATCCAGCGCTGCCTCCGACCACTCCTCTCCTGGGAACCACAGTAAGATGAAAGGAGCATTTGAAAGCCAATCAGTATAGATCTCAGAAATATGCACATACATCTTTAACTTAGTTATATGTCTGAAAGGAAAGACAAGAGCTTTACCTTTTGGTCTCACTCCTGCTAAGTTGCATTCAATAGCTTGGAATGGTAAGCTGAGGAAGTCACTCCTGAAATATGAATGCAGCAAAAACAAAAGCTGTTAATAACGAGGCTGTACCATTTTTCACTGCTGCCACAAACAATGATATGCACTGTTTACAGCATTAAAGCACAGCACCCTCACTTCCTGCCAAAGGAAGGGGGGGTGAAAACACGTCATGGTGTTTGAAAGTCTGGACTGCACAGTCTGAAGCCCTGCTGTTTGGATCTTCATTAAATACATACTATCAGCCTATCATAACAACCTAGTGAGGCTGTCCAACCACATCATCTCTGACCCAAAGCATGTTCTGAACAGTGAATAAGAACTGCTACCATCTAATGGGAGATACAGGATCCCACCATTCAATAAGGTCAGACTGAAGCACTCCTTTGTGCATCAGTCAGTCCTCTCAGTAAACAGAGCTGATCCCAGATCAAACGCACGTTTTCTCTCACTGATTGTGCGGTTATGCTTTATGTTTGTTGTTTGTGTTTCATGTATTTGTGTCTGGAGATTTGTCAATGTTGGTGTTGGACATGGCGCTGCTGTGACGCAAGTCACATTTCAGACTTGGTCTGACTAATAGAGAAATATCGTATACTGTATATATTTAGTGGTTAGAGCAGGAACATGTGATGGGACATGCAGGCATTGATGGACCTTCCTCTCTCACCTCACTCTGCAGAGGCTGTCTCTGGGCAGCTCTCCGTTGTCTCCAAAGTCAACATAGTAGAGGTCCACCATTCCAGAGCCCAGCATTCCCAGCACCCTAGCCCTGTTCCATGTACCGTGGTCGTGGTAGGGAGCAGCCACAATGTCCCCGACCACAAAGGTCTCCACCCTCTGATCCTGAAAATGAGGAAATGACTTGTTATTTCTTAAATGGAGGGTCCAAGTGAACAGGGCCTTCATAACTCCATAGCATGTATCTGTTTGCGTTTCACACATGTTTTTATTATTACAATAAGCAGTATTTATTCCAGGAGACAGTATTTCATTTTGACATTGCTTTATTTGTGATATATGACCCGCTCTATCGAAATCAGTCGGAAGTCGCAACGGCTTATTTCAAAATAAACGTGGATTTGCGTAAAAAACTATTTTTTCGGGGTTCGGGTGTTTTGTTTGATTTTAAACAAACAAAGTCTTGGCTTTCAGAATATGAAACTTTTATTTCAAAAATCACACGATAAATACAGCTTTGAAGCTTGTAAAGGGACGAAGACAGGCACCTCTCACTCGCCACTCTGCTGTTCCGCAGCGCAGCCCCCCCCCTCCCGCTGACATTATTAATGTAAGCGTATAGTAATCATAGATAACACGGCAGGGTCCGTTACAGTTTGTTTTCATCTGATTTCAATTAAACAAAGTCTTAGCTTTCAGAATATTAAACTTGTTTCGGCAAATTCAGATGATAAATACAACTTTGAAGCTTTAACGGCATAATTACAAGCGGAGAACGGAGTAACTTAACGTCACAGCAGGCATAACAACAGCCGGTGCTCACACACACACACACACACACACACACACACACACAACACCACACACACACACACACACACACACACACACACAACACACCCACACACACACACACACACACACACACACACACACACACACACACACACACACACACACACCACACACACACACACACACCACACAAACACCCACACACCAACACACACACACACACACACACACCACACACACACAAGGCCTTTTTCTTTCTTTTCGGGAGGCGTGTGGTGCAGTGGGTTGTGCCTTGGTGTTGGGATCAGGGGGTCACAGGTTCAAACCCCACTGCAGTCAGCATGTCGTTGTGTCCCTGGGAAAGACACTTCACCCCAAATTGCTCCTGTATGTTAGTCGCTTTGGATAAAAGCGTCTAACAAGTGACATGTAATGTAATCTAATGTTTCTCAAAATGATGACTCGGTGACAGTCATTATAAAATGTGACATATTTTGCTTAATATTTGGAGTACAAAAACAATCCTGATATCATTAGAAAGCTCGGAATCTCCTCTTTCCAACAGTGTATACAACTCAAAATGTGTCTTCGGGTCAATGCGACTGATTTCGATGGAGCAGGTCACATATATATAGACGTGTGCATTTACTTGGTTTAAAACCTTCTCTTCAACATGTAGCTTATTGTATTTGCTTTGACATGTATATCGTTCACTTGAGTGGTTTTTCAACATAATGGTGCATTGTTTCATTTATACTCCGTTTCTTCTTGCACACTTTTTTTGATTGTTTTATGTCTTATATATGTTTTCATATTTCATATTCATCGCCATAACAACACTGTAACTACTGCGCATATGACAATAAAGCCTTTGAATCTTGAATCTTCAGCCAAAGCATGTGTATCTTGTCTGGTTAGATTTGAGTTACAAGTCTCTGAAAAGTATTACACAAATGGTGGAAATCATGCAATAAGGGTTTGAAAGGACTGTATTTGCCCCTAGGAGCTGTTTGTAACAGACACTTCTGCAACATCCAGTGATGGTTAAAACACTGTCCTTTCCACCTGACACAGCATCCTTCTCTCTCCCGTGCCTCGGGCTCTGTTATGGAGTTCCAGCGGCTCACTGGTTTTGGTATAACACCTGAGTAGAGACATATGGAGTTGTCCTTACTGTGGGGTTGCCGCTGTTATAGAAGCATGTCATCTCCTCCGTCAGTTTGTCCAGCTGAAGGGAACGCACCCCGAGGATCTGGATCCAGAAGTGGTTGGGGTTCTCTGATGCAGAAACATAAACCTCGAGGTGTTCATCAGGCTGGAAGCTCAGGTCTGGGCTGGGAACTGGATGACAGAGAGGAAGATCATTTGGAACGGCTTCCAAGGACATATAACAGTGAGAAATGTAAGAGAAGGTGAACTCACTCTCAAACTTGGAGACTTCAGAGAGGGATTCTGTGGAGACACTGTCCTCCTCCTCCCCCTCCCCCTCCCCCTTGTTGTCTGTGATGTCCAGCTCCTGAACCGTGTCTTTGGCTCTCCTTTGGTGCCGTTAGCATGGAGGAGCCCATTCCTCTCAGGCTGGGAGCAGGGGCTGTTGTTGTTTAGTCCCACTGGAGCTTCAGGCTCTGTGCTGTCTGGTCTCTGACTCACAGCAGTATGACCGCGCTTCGGCCGCAGGGCAGACGACTGGGAGATCTTCGTCCTCACCATCATGTCCTCTCTGACTTTTTCTAGAATCAGTTCCTGGAGACAGACAATGAGAGTAGGAGTTACGTTGCTATATATGTATTATAAGTGACCAAGGCAAGGCAAGTTTATTTATATAGCACCTTTCAACACAAGGCAATTCAAAGTGCTTTACAAAAAACGAAAGACATTAAGAAAATGGCATTTAAAATCAGTCATTAAAAAGAAAAGATAATAAAATAAACATTAAAAGAAAAAATACATGGATAAAAGTTACAGTGCAGTTTAAGATGTAAATAGTTCAATTAAAAGCAGCGACAAAAAGAAAAGTCTTCAGCCTGGATTTAAAAGTAGTCAGAGTTGCAGCGGACCTGCAGGTTTCTGGGAGTTTGTTCCAGATATTTGGAGCATAATAACTGAATGCTGCTTCTCCATGTTTAGTTCTGACTCTGGGGACAGAAAGCTGACCAGTCCCTGAAGACCTGAGAGATCTGGATGGTTCATAATTTAGCAGGAGGTCAGAAATGTATTTTGGGACTAAACCATTCAGTGCTTTATAAACCAGCAGCAGTATTTTGAAATCTATTCTTTGACACACAGGAAGCCAGTGTAAAGACTTCAGAACTGGAGTGATGTGATCCACTTTCTTAGTGTTAGTGAGGACTCGAGCAGCAGCGTTCTGAATTAGCTGCAGCTTCTAATAGATTTTTTAGTGAGACCTGTGAAGACACCATTACAGTAGTCCAGTCTACTGAAGATAAAAGCATGGACAAGTTTTTCCAAATCCTGCTGTGACATTAGTCTTTTAATCTAGATATTCTTTATATAGTAGGCTGATTTAGTAACAGTTTTAATGTGACTGTTAAAACTCAGGTCAGAGTCCATGACTACACCTAGATTTCTGGCTTTATCTGTTGTTTTGAACATTGCAGGCTGAAGCTCAGCGCTAACTTTTATACGTTCTGCGTTGGCTCCAAAACCATTACCTCAGTTTTATCTTTGTTTAATTGGAGAAAGTTCTGACACATCCAGTCATTGATTTGTTCAATGCACTTACTCAGTGTTTGAATTGGAGCATAGTCTCCTGGTGAAATTGTTACGTAAATGTGTGTGTCATCTGCATAGCTATGGTAACTTATTTTGTTGTTCATTATCTGAGCCAGTGGTAGCATGTAGATGTTAAAGAGAAGAGGCCCCAAGATGGAGCCTTGAGGACCCCACATGTCATATTTGTCAACTCAGATGTTATTATTTACCTATAGAAACAAAGTTTGTTTCTGTCCTTTAAGTAGGATTCAAACCAATTTAGAGCTGTTTCCGAAAGTCCCACCCAGTTTTCCAGTCGGTCTAGTAATATGCTGTGGTCAACAGTGTCAACCGCAGCACTGAGATCTAATAATACTAACACTGAAGTTCTGCCACTGTCTGTGTTTAAGTGGATGTCATTGAAGACCTTTACAAGAGCAGTCTCAGTGCTGTGGTTTGGACGAAAGCCTGACTGGAACACATCAAAACAGTTATTAAATGCAAGAAAATTACTCAACTGTTGAAAAACAACTTTTCAATGATTTTACCTATAAAGGGGAGGTTTGATATGGGCCTGTAATTGTTCATTACTGAAGCATCTAGATTATTCTTTTTTAAGAGCGGTTTAATGACTGCAGTTTTCAGGGCCTGTGGATAAATACCTGAGTGAAGAGATTTGTTTACTATATGAAGTAGATCTGAGGCCATGCAAGGCAAAACATCTTTGAAAAATCCTATTGGAATAATATCAAGGCCGCAAGAGGAGGATTTCAGAAGTTGTATAATGTCCTCTAGGTTTTTATCATTAATCTGATGGAATTGTGTCATGATGTCTGAATTGATGTTAAGTGGAGATAGGGACAACACATTTGCTGTACCTGATGCAGAGGCACTGACTGCTTGTCTGATTTTCTGAATTTTGTCAGTGAAAAAGGCAAAATCATTGCACGCCCTGGTGGATAGAAATTCAGAGGCTACTGACACTGGGGGGTTAGTTAGTCTGTCGACGGTAGCGAACAAGGCACGTGCGTTGTTTTTGTTTTTGGTAATGATGTCAGAGAAGAAAGACTGTCGTGCGTTTTTCAATTCCAAATTATAAAGGCCAAGTCTCTCTTTATAGATTTCAAAGTGAACCTGGAGATTTGTTTTTCGCCACCTACGTTCAGCTTTTCGACACTCTTTTTTCTGTTTTCACGGTCATGGCCTTTCTCCATGGAGATATTTTCTTCCCAGTCACTTCCGTTACCCTAGTTGGAGCAATGGCATCTATAACATTTTACATTTTTGAATTAAAATGATCTACTAGCTCATTTACTGAGATGTTGGCAGGGGCAAGTGTGGAAGAAAAATCTGAGTAAAACATTTCCCTAGTATTTTCAGTTAAATATCGCTTTGTGGTTACCTCTTTTTGAACATTTTTGTGAACAGAAATAGAGCTCTCAAAGAAAACACAGGAATGGTCAGAGAGTGCAACATCAGTCACCACAACCTTAGAGATATTCAGATCCCTTTGAGATAATTAAGTCCAGAGTGTGCCCCTTATTGTGCGTGGGCTCCGTCACATGCTGAGTCAGTCCATAGTTATCAAGAACACAAAACAGTTCTTTAGCCCCTCTGTCCTGGGGGTTGTCAACATGGATGTTAAAATCACCAACAATGACTAGAAGGTCAAAGTCAATACACACTATAGACAGCAGTTCAGTAAAGTCATCAAAAAAGCTTTGCACAGTATTTGGGTGGTCTATAGATATTTAGGAACAGAGCTCGAGAGGAGCATTTCAGCTGAAGGGCCACATATTCAAAAGAATCAAAGTTTCCATACGATGTCTTCCTGCATTGAAGGGAATCATTGAACAGAATAGCAACTCCACCCCCTTTCTTATGCATTCTTCCTGACCTCATAAAACTAAAGTTGGGAGGGGTTGATTCGATAAGAACAGCTGCCACTGTTATTTTGTTCAATCCAAGTTTCCGTTAAAAACATAAATCAAGATTGTGCTCAGTGATAAATCATTGATTCAAAATGTTTTTCCTGCCAAAGACCTGACATTTAATAAAGCTAGTTTAAGTTTGTTAAACACACTATCAGTCATGTTTTTTGTAACAAGCTGTGGCTGACATGGAATCACTGCTAAATTAGATACACTCACACAAACGTTTGAGCACTTCCTGTATCTGAGCTGATTCCCCGCTCTTAATCTATTACCTATCAACACAGATATCGGCAAAGCTACTGGCAGGCAGGGCCCCGACATGTCCTGGAAAGAGTTGAGAGTGCCATACGCCCTTGAGCCTGGACCCAGCACATATCAGTAAGAGTTTGTTGCATTTTGTACACACACATCCTTATCAGGCTTCGGAGACTGCAGATGCTTTGTTGAAGGGAGGGGAGGTGGTTGACGTAGGCACGGTGATGGAGACGGGGGAGATGGTGCGGGGGTAAAGGACATGCTGCCAGGGGGGGAGGTGGTTGACGTAGGCAGGGTGATGAAGACAGGGGCGATGGTGCGCGTCTCTGCAGTGATTTGGTGGGCGTCGTTGAGGAGCGGGGGTAAAGGACATGCTGCCAGCCCTGCGTATCGCCTTAGTTTGGTCTTTGAACTCCAGGAAGGAATCGGTGCCAACCCTCTGTATTTCATTCGTGTGTTCAGCGATCTCCAGGAGGGTGGGCGAGGGTGAAAGGGTGAACGGAGAGTAGAGAGAGCTGTGGGGTGAAGGAAGAGTATCCTCAGAGGTGATAAGGGGGGGTGAAGGGCGGTGGAGACTCCTCCATTTGTCTCCCATAATCAAGACATTCCTCAGGCGGGTGCAGTGATAGATTTTCAAGATTTTCTGAGCGATGTGTTGTGTCTTTCTCTTTGTTTTGATTCCTCTTGTTGCTTGTCCTTGGCAGAGGGAACAGATTGATGACGTAGGCAGTTGAATACGTTAGAGATAAACAATTTCACTCCTGACTTGTTCAGACAAACTCCATTTGCCTTAAAAAGATGTCTGCGGTCCCTGAAAAAGTTAAAGTTGTCAATAAAATGGACAGAATGGTCAGTACAGGCCGTGGAAAGCCAGGTGTTCAGTGCAAACAATCTGCTGAATCTCTCCACTCCTCTTCTGACTGGCGGTAGAGGGCCACTGATGAACACCTCTGCATTTAGAGAGCTGACAGTTTCCAACAGACATTTAAAGTCTTCTTTCAGCACTTCTGACTGTTGTTTCATAACATAATTTGTTCCAATGTGCAGTACCACATTCTTCACAGTCGGATGTTCAGCCCCAATATGCAGGATCTTCTCAGCCAAGTCAGAGACCACATCCTTGGGAAAACAGAGTACTTTGGTGTTGTTCAGACCTTTTACATCTCTTACAGCAGAGTCACCCACAATCAGAGTTTCAGGCCCAGTCGTTAGCTTTCCCTCTAGCCTTTTACTTTTGGAGTAGCTATTGGTCCTTACCCTGCTGCGTGAAGAGGACAGGTTATCCAGGTCATCAGATCTCCGGTTCTCGGTCAGCGGAGCGTATCTGTTCTGGATTGGCACACTTGGTGGTTTAGGAGGATTGTTTGTAATTCTCCCTTTAGCAGCTGTCCACTGCTGTTTCCTAGTAGGAATAGGGGTTGAAGAGGCGCTCTTCCTGGGTGATAACAATGCAGGCCAGTCGGTCGCATCACAGATTTCAGAGCGCTGGGCTCTGCCTGTTGTTCGTCCTCCCAAATCCCATGGAAATTATTTACTCTTCGGCCTTGCACCCAGAGAGTTCCAGGGAGGACTACCACTTATAGATTTATTACCCGGTACACAGCCCTCCTGTTCCTTGGAATCCTTGTAGCTGCTAACTAGCTTTGAGTTAGCGTGCCTTTGTCCATTCTTTTGCAACACTGGTAAAGTCGTGTCATTCCCACGACATAGTCCATTCACTTCCACGTTAACTTCCAACCATTGCATTTTCATTTCCAACACGGCCATCTTCTGTAGAAGTTTGTGGAAGTCATCTGTAGAGAACGGAGGCATTTTGCTGCTAACTAGCTTAAGCTAAATAGCATGCAGTAGCCTACCAGGCTTTAGCTGTTGCTAGGCCACGGTACTGTAAGACTGAGGTCGTCGTAAAAATATTGAAATATGGCTGAAACCCTCCGTCTATTTACGAAGAATAACTGTCCCAGTGATAAGTTAATGTCCAGGAGCCGCTGCTCCAAGTTTTCAGAGAATAAGAATAGGAAAATCAGCATAAAAAAGTAAGCAGAGGCAAGAGCAAGCAGAAAAGTGTCTGCACTGTAAGAAGGCTACACACACAGGGGTAGTTCAGATAAGTGGACCCTCCTCACCTTGGCCTGCTCCACCTCCTGCCTGCTCCCTGTAATCGTCACCTTGCCTTTGGCCCCAGGGCCGAGCGTCTTCTCTTTAGAACAAGACACTTTGGCCCCTGTGGTCCTGTTGATCAGCTTTAAACTCTCTCCACCACGGCCTGCAACAAACACACAATCAGACTCAAAGTGCATTATATTTTACAAACATAAACAAAATCATCTTCAGAGCCTCAAAGAAACTGTGAATGGATCTTAATGTTGTGTTTGAATCCAAAGCCAAGGTCTCACTTTGAAGGTCACCTTGGTTTTCAGACAATTGATGCTAAGTTAAGTTAGAATGTTAAGTTACAGTTCTAGAATGTTAAGGTACAATTCTAGAATGTTAAGTTACAGTTCTAGAATGTTGAGTTACAGTTCTAGAATGTTAAGTTACAATTCTAGAATGTTGAGTTACAGTTCTAGAATGGTAAGTTACAATTCTAGAATGTTGAGTTATAGTTCTAGAATGGTAAGTTACAATTCTAGAATGTTGAGTTACAATTCTAGAATGTTAAGTTACAATTCTAGAATGTTAAGTTACAGTTCTAGAATGTTGAGTTACAGTTCTAGAATGGTAAGTTACAATTCTAGAATGTTGAGTTATAGTTCTAGAATGGTAAGTTACAATTCTAGAATGTTGAGTTACAATTCTAGAATGTTAAGTTACAATTCTAGAATGTTAAGTTACAGTTCTAGAATGTTGAGTTACAGTTCTAGAATGTTGAGTTACAGTTCTAGAATGTTAAGTTTAAGTTACAGTTCTAGAATGTTAAGTTACAGTTCTAGAATGTTAAGTTTAAGTTACAGTTCTAGAATGTTAAGTTTAAGTTACAGTTCTAGAATGTTAAGTTTAAGTTACAGTTCTAGAATGTTAAGTTTAAGTTACAGTTCTAGAATGTTAAGTTACAGTTCTAGAATGTTGAACGTCTAATGTTCAACATTCTAGAATTTGTATTAAACATTGTAGAGCTTTACATTACAATTCTAGACTTTTAAGTCAACATTCTAGTAGAATTTGTATTCAACATTCCAGAATTTTAAATTAACATTCTAGAATTTTAATTCAACATTCTAGAATTTTAATTCCACATTTTAATTTTTTGTAATTAACATTAGAGAATTGTAATTCAACATTCTAAAATTGTAATTCAAAATTATACCATTTTAATTCAACATTCTAGAATATTAATTCGACATTATAGAACTTTAAATTAACATTCTGAAACTTTAATTAAAAAGGTAGGGTAGGTAAGAATGGAGAAACCAGCTCGAGTGCACTAGAATTTGAAAGTACGCAGCCGGAAGAAATCTGCCCCTTCCTTCAGACTTCCTTACAGAGCCCCTCCTCCAACACACACGGACATTCTACAATGTTTATTTAAAGGTCCCATGTCATGCCTTTCCGGTTATTACCATGGGGTTATTACCCGTCCCCTTGTGTGTTATGAAGCTTTTTCTGCATGTAAACGGTCTGCAGAGTCACAAACCCTCAAAGTACACCCTGTAGGGAGTACAACTCTAACACAGAAAAGACCTGTCTGTGCTTCCCAGAACGCCTCTTTGGACATTTCTCTTTTTTCCTTCCGGGGGTCCAAATGGACCAATCCACGGAGCTCCGCCCGCGCACGCACGCACGCACGCACGCGGAGCAGCGAGCCCCGCTACGTCCCCCCAACACGGCACCCAGACCCCACACAGCATTCTCATCTGTTTGTCATTACTGGTGTCATTTTCTGGTTGCTAACGCCATTGTAAAACATAAACACTGATGTTCCGCTGTAACGGTGGTGAACTCATCAGAACAGAGTGGGCGAGCTGACCAATCAGAGCACACTGGAGGGGGGGGGGCAGGAGCTCCAACAAGCCGTTTAGGACAGAGAGTGAATACACATACTATACAGAGATGCTGTATGAGAAACCAATGTGAGTTTGGAACATTGAACAATGTAAATCTATTCTAGTAGACCTCAACAATGGAATTATGATCAGTAGAAATGGCCATGACATGGGACCTTTAAAGTTCTAGAATGCTGAATTACATTTCTAGAATGTTGAATTACAACCATAAAATGTTCATTTAAAATCCTAGAATGTTGGAATAAAAGTTTAGAATGTTGATGGAAATTCTACTAGAATGTTGAATTAAAATGTTAGAATATTGAATTACATTTCTAGAATGTTATATTACAATTCTAGATACAGCATTAGCTAGGATCTGAAATATTTATTGGCATCTCACATTTTAATGTATTATTACAATAAGCAATATTTTATTTCACTATATAGTACTTAATTTGACCTTCAATTTTTTAGCTCACCTTATTCTACTTTACTATTTTTATAGTTTTTGTATTAGTTTATGTCTTGTATATATTTATGTTGCATTGTTGGAGGAGCCTGGAACTTAAGATTCTCATTGCAACGTCCAGGCTGTAGCTACTGTGCATGTGACAATCCAGCCTTTGAATGTTATTGAATCTGAATGTGGGAATCCCTCTTGTAATCCTCAGCATTTGGGAGATACCTATTATACGTCCGAAGGCTGTCTGAGGAACGTCCAGAGCCTCGCTCAGCTGCTCACAGTCAGTGAGCAGGTTCTCCAGCACACAGCGAGCCAGCAGGACCTGCTCCTGGGTGCCCTGCATCAGGAAGCTCACGGAGCTGTGACCCTGCTCCCCGGGGTCCGACAACACCCGCAACTGAGCTCCAGACCTCTGGCTCACCTGAGAGACACAGGAGAGCACTTAGACCTCTCCACACACTCCTGTCAATCAACAGCTAATTGTAACACACACTTGCAGTTGGTGCTCAATTTGAGAAGGGGTTTGGATTGGTAAAAACCACAGTTCATAACAATACAATCATTCATTGTTTGGTTACTCATCATAAACATGACAATCAAATCATCAAAAACAGAACAGGCTCCGTTATGTTTTGTCTTTATTTGATCTTTTTTTGCAGATTTTGACTTCTTATGTTTATATACATTTGTCATTCTAATTGTTTTTATTGATCTTTTGATCCAATTCTTTACTTGTGAATACTTTAGCTATATATTTCTGCAGATGAACTAATAATGAAAGTAATCATTGATCGTAATCTACCTCAAAATAACAACACATTGACAAAAAACCATATCTTAACAGTAAGATATAAAACCTTTATCTATGTCCATTTAGATTTACTTTAGGATGCCGACTACAAACCTTTGTGAGCAGATACATATATGTGTCCGGTATTGATCTACCCACCTCGTCCAGAAAGTTGGCTTGGTGTCTGGATATGTTTCTGTACACTTCTACAGGAACGGTCATCTTGGACTCCTCAGGCTTGGGCCCAGGACCTTGAAAAGCACACCCTTGTTAGTCACAGATAAGGTTATCAGAACATAAACACTAAACCCTACACTTTGTTACATTTGGCAGAATATATTGGAATATGGCAAGTGTGAAAAAAGGTTAACACCTGCATGAACACATACACACTCACTGATGTTGGTGCTGCTTATATGGCGATAGACGATGTAGCCCACTGTGGCCCCGACAGAGAGCCCTGCAGCCAGGGCCACCATCTTGCCCGAGCTCAGGGGGCTCTTGTGACTCTCCTTCACTGCGTCCATAACCCCACGTGCAGCCAGTGGGATGCTCCACCTTAACACACACATGATACAAGTCTCCTTTACAATCCTCCCCTAAGTTACTGCTTATTTCTATCCCTTCCTGTTCATCCCCTCCCTCCCACCATCCTTTACAACAAATCCGGATTCTGCTATTGCAAAATGTGAATTACAATCAGCAGGAGCCTATTAGCTGGTGTCAACAAGCCTCAGTGTTTTGTTGGCACCTGTACAGTCATGCAGCACAAAGCTGAAAGCAGTAGCCAGCCTGATCCCAACAGTAGACCAGTGTTCTCAAACATCCGCATTACATACAGACTTCCATTATATTTCATCTACTTTTCCCAATTGAATAGATGCTGTCCTATTGACATGAGAGGATGCGTGTTGTTCATTTGTGTAACTGTGTGTATCATTTAGTGTTCTTGCTCAAAGTACCCTGGAGGTCCTGAGACCTGAATGTGAGAACCACTGCAAGAGATTCTTACGTTACAGCTTTTACTCTCTCAATTGCCAACAACAATTAGCCTGCAAAACGTGCACAAGCAGTCACATACACACAAAGTAGACCCTAAATGACTGAACATTTAGTGTCTGCACATCCACACAGCACTGCGCTTCTGATAAATGCACAAAGCCACACTGCAGCAGTAATGCACTGAAGCTGCTGCTGCTGCACACTGCACCGTTACCTCCAGCCATTCCATTCATCAGCCAACACTCAGTCGGTCACTTTGGAGGCCTGTAGTGTCAGACTGCTACAAACTACAACTCTCACACAGAAACAGAACGCACTGGAGGTAAGCGGGCATGGGGGGGGGGGGGGGGGGGGAGCACACAGCACCACCATGCAGATGTGTGTCTCACTGAGAGAGGAGGGCTCTGGGGCTGTAGTTGAGAAACACATGGGATTTGGACACTCCAACGTCCATCTCGGTGACTAACAGACACAATCTTCTCCAATCCTGGCTCTTTTTTTGTTTACATCCAAGTTCAAGACTACTGGCAGACAGGTAGAGGGAGAAGAACGTTTCAGCATATCAATGAAGTCACTAGAACACAGCAAAGGGCCAGCCATATTGCTCTGTGCTGTCCTTTTGAGGAGAGCAGAACGTCCTCATCATAGATTTCATCTCTTTTTCCAGTTCTCTGGTGTGGTCAAAAATAATACAATAAAGGACGTTTTTTTCTAAGATCCTTGATTAAAAATAGCAATTTGTAATCAATCAGGGAACATCATGTTAGGTTTCTCTGGATGTCAGATGATTTGGGCATTCAAAAGATCCATCATACACACTTTGGTGTCAATCAAATATCAGTGGTGGAAGAAGTGCTGAAGTCAAAGTAGCAACACTAAATTGTAAAAGTACTCTGTATACAAGTACAAGTCCTGCATTCAATATCTCTCGGGTAAAAGTGCAAAAGTATCAGCATCAAAATATACTTAAGGCGAGACACGGCAGGCAAAAACATCGTTTTTCAAGTACTGGTCAATTTTGAGATTTTGTGCTATTTTGATTCCATAACATGTTTTCTTTCAGGCTTTTGGAAGGAAAACGTACAAAATACACATTTAAGTGTTTATTTTACTATAGTTTGTCTATTTGCGTCTGTAGATTTCTCCTAAATTCACCAAAAGTTAGCATTCTAACGTAACATAAAGTACCGCGACCGCTGTGTGCACCATGTCAACAGAGGTATCGCTGGAAAGCTGTGTCTCTCCTGCACAATCTCATCGGATCCAAATATGGTCATTTCCTTTGTATCAGCAACCAATCGTGAAAGCACAAAGGGGTCTTAAACCAAGAAACGAAATCTCATTGGCTGGTGTCAATTTCTGACAACGTGATTCGTTCAGATGCGTCACGTGGTGTGCTAAAACACTTCCTGGTTAGCTTTCAGCTAGAAATTGAAATCTCAAAATGCCAAAAGAACGGCGAAAAAACGTTCACAGAGAAGACGACAACAATTGTCACTTGCACGAAGCAAGGTTATACAAAACACAAATGACCCCGAACATGAAATACCTTCACGGAGTGCGTCGATGCGCAAGCTGTCATCCAAAGAACAGGAGGGTTTAGCTAGCGCCTCACTGCAATCTTTAAAGGTCGTTTTCTCAAAATGAGTTTTTTCTCCTACTCTGAGTTCGAAATGTCAACTTCAGTAGCACGTAGATACACCAAACCTTCCAGTTATATTCCTATCAATATTATGAAGGCTTTTACAGAAGGGTTTGTTCATATATCATTCATAGCCTGAATTATACAACATTGTATACCTAAAAACATGGCGAAAATGGATATGTTAGGGCTGTTGACAGTATTTTCTGATTTATGGAGTGATAAAAAGATATATCCAATATCCCTTCTGTAAAAGCCTTAGATACTAATATGACTACAAAATGAAACAATAATTTTGAATCTGGCTATATCCAAAGTTCAGATTTCGATTCCTGAAATGTGTTAAAATATGTGCATATTTAATGAGATAATGGATAATTTGCATGTTTAAACATGCTATTTCAGAAACTTGTAATACAAAAGACAATTGCCTTATTGTAAGTAATTAACTGGAGAAATTTCTAGCTGATACCTTTAAGTTAAAAAAATTACCCTATTCACCTGGGGTGTCTCGCCTTAAAGTACCAAAAGCAAAAGTACTTGTTTTGACTAAAAGTAGAAATACATTCATGTCAAAATACTTCATTAAAAGTAAAGGTCCTACAAAGTGCAGAAGTGTTATTAAGAGAAAATCTACTTACAACATCAAATAAAACACTATTAGAACGGCCCGGGCATGCACATACTATTTTCAATTTACAAGAAACAATCGTAATACATTTCTAATTTACATGTTGCACAACAGTGGTGTCGTAGTAAAACATTATAAAGTAGCATTACATGGAAATACTTAAGTAAAGTATTTGGTAGAGTCAATGTATTTGTAACTTTCCACAAGTGAATAACAAAGGCCACATGTGCTAACGGCTGTGCTGTGTTTCCAAGCTCTTCCGCACAGTTCTCAAACAGATACATGAGCACTTGTATCTCTCGAGTTTGGCATCACGGCTCGACATGAAGGAAGCATCATACGCAACGTGCACAACAGTCTGGATAACCTTGGCTTCTTCAACGCTTTAAGCCATATTATCGTGGAACACTGCTTTTGTCATCACACTGCCGCAAGCCAATAAAACCTTAATCTTCACATGGGCAGAATGTATTTTCTCTTTATTCACGAGCTGCAAAAATGACCGCAAACACACTCTCCCCTCTGATGTAGCAAGCTAACACTAGCTAGCTTCCACCTTACCCTGGTTACACATGCAGGCAAGCAAATGCTAACCAAACGCCCTTAGCACGCTTACATAACCTGACAACACATCATTTTATATTTTCAATGTCTAACCTTATTGAAAATGAACAGTAAGAACGTGTAAATAATGAATGACACTTACATACACACCGAGCCTCTCACTTTAAAATCGACCTGTCGGCAACGTCTATCAAGCTGGAGGAGGAAGCGGAAGTACAGCGGAAACTACATTTACATTTAGGGTTACAACTATTTGTAGAAGAAGCACAAATGAAAAATGTACGTGTATTTATTGATTAAACTTGACTAGAACTTAAATGGCGACTTTTACTTTGCAAGGTCAACCGGAAGTCTTCTTCTTTATTCTAGTAACTTGACACTTGTGTCGTATGATGAACCATGCCATTAAGTCACTTTTCTATACCGTCTCTGTCTGATGATGCACTGCGCCCATTTCTGATGTGCTGTTTTATGCTGAGTCATACATTCATAACAATTTCAAGATAATACCATTTCACATAATTGGGTTACAACCCCAATCAATCAATCAATCAGGTGGGGTGGGCTCTTTGCCCTGTTTCTTTTGTTTCTATGTGTGTGTCTCGAGAAGGTGGCTGAAACATGAATAAAGATTTCTAGTCCACTCATCCAAAATGGTCTCTGCTACTGAGACTTATTCTTCTTATAACATATAGCATTTTATATTCACCCAGTAGTATTTATTTGTCTTTCATTTCACCATCCTCTTTTTAATCAGTGTACTAAAATGTTGTGTGCAACAATATTTCGACAAAACAATCTCATAAAAGAGCATATTTATTAACACGACATAATCAATATACAATTACATTTCTCAAAATTCCTGAACAGACACTTTAAAAAATACAAAATATACATTTATGTATCTTGTGAACTACTATATCATAGTCCATCACCCCCCCTCCACCCTAATCATCTGACAGAGGTTCAGCTCGTAGCATGTGCGTGAAGATGCAGCTGTACCAGAGGCATGGTAACAGTACGTGTTACAAACAGAACAGTAGAACTACACAGTACACGTACATTGATCAAGACAGCATTCACCGGGTCTTATTCATGCAGCATAGTCCACAAGTATGTAACGGGGCTAACAAATAATAAAACCAGGAATATTGTCTTCAGTAGTTTCATGCTGACTTTTTGTCAAGTCATCACGAGTAGAACCGTAAAACCAGATTGTGCTTTTGCACTCTATGACTTGTACCGCTTCACATACACCCCCACTTTAAATGTGGAACTTAAAAAAGCATTTGTATGAGTGGAACAGCTCAAAACAGGCAGAGATCAAAAGGAGCAGAGGTTCAACAGAAGATTTAAGATCATGTTTGATGCCATCTTTACATTAAGAATACAAGTAAACAAGAATCAAGGCTGAACAACCAACATCCCTCAGGACATCTGTCAATTATTCTGTTCTATTTGATTGACTGCAGATGTGTTTGGGTTTGGGGGTGAGCGATAAAAGATTATAAAAGTGAAGTAAAAATTGTAACATAATATGGAAATGTGACGTGATTCCCACATTAATGAAATCAGTCAAAAATAAACTAAATTACAGTATATCACAATATTGATATAAATATCAGGATATTATACATTTTCTGAAAAGTTGATTGGCTAATTCCTTCTTTAACGCTTTATCCAGCACTGACAAGAATGACTTGTTTAAGAGTGGCATCAAAGCATTGGATTTCTGGAGTAATGTGATACTAAGAAATGGCATCATCCAACTGAATACAGTAGCAACATTACAAATCCTGTCTATTTAAAATCATGACAGCACCACACAGAAGGCTGGTCTGATTGAAAAAGACCCCGAGTGATACAGACGTCTGCTGCTTCACATTACTGAACACAGGACATCAATGGGGACACTTCGAATATGATGTTCAGCAGTTCAAATATTAAATCTGGGGCAATAGATGAAATCTACTTCAATTCCTATCATTTCAAACAAACAGTGTCCTGAGCTCCTGTCTGTGGAGGTGTGGAGAAAGGCAACTGACTGATGTGAAGCACCTTTCACAAGACGAGGATGCATGTGAGCATCCCAGAATAAACAGGCTTATTGATGCAGTAGTTGCTCACTGATCACAGATGACTGCACAGCCAGATGCGTGTGTTCAAAGCAGCATGCTGGCACATTCTTCACTTAGATGACTTTACAGTATATATTCTAATGCAGGTATGTGTGTAGAAAACAACTTGAATCTTCAGCCCTTATTGTGTTACAACAGACTCGGTTTAGCTCAGGAATTTGGTACCAACAAAGAACATTAGTTTAAAAGTGAATAAAAACAAAAGGGACCGTTGACTGGCAGGTTATCAGGGCAGATTTCAATGTGGCTCAACAGGCGAATGGTTCAGAGCACCCAACTCAGGTGAACAAACACCTTGTTACATATAGAGTGTTCAGTATTAAATCATAAAAGCAGTATGAAATAGATAATCATACAAATAAATAGTGTAAAATATATAAATAAGCCAAAAATGTGCCAAATAATGAAAGAGTTTCTTTGGGAATCTTATTTGTTTCATTATAGACATGTTTTTTGTATCCGTTTTATTTTTTCTGAAATCATTTTTTTTTAAAAATGGGATTATTCCTTTTATATTTTCAATAAAATGTGATGATCTATTATATAATGACAGATTCAGTTATTTAATAATGAACACTTTAGGGCTACACAGTTAAGTGTTTTCCTGTGAGGATCAGACTCAGTGTGATGTGTTTGGGACGGGGGGGGGCGACCATGCACACTTCTCCCAGAGATGGAGAACCCATGTGATAGTGAGAAAGCATACACCTCTTCAGAAAACATTCATCATGCCGTTAAACCTAAACCAGACAATAAATATTTGCCTTTTTTTGGCTCTTTTTTTGTTTGAAATGAAAACGAGTCCTTTGGATTTCCCCTGCCCTCATGGAGTTAAACATTTGCGTCAGTGTGTAAAGCCCCCACTGTGGCATTTGGTTGATACCTGCTTCACTTCATGGTTCAGTGCTGTTGGCTGAAGTGTTCTGCAGTGTTTGCACCCTGCTTCCTCTGGTTTCCAGTACTAGATGGCTGCCACTATCGCCACAGCAACCATTTCCTCTCAGGGAACGCGTCAGAACGGAGAGTTCATCCCCAGCTTAGTTTCAAACTGCAGCTTCTGTCTCTTCTGGTAGCGAACTCGCACTCTAAAGGGATAGACGGGACAAATCAGAGCTGATGAATAAGACACAGTGGTAACTTAATAAATACATTTACTCAAGTACTGTACTTGAGTACCATTTTGAGGTACTTGTACTTTACTTGAATATTTCAATATTTGGTTACTTTGTACTTCTACTCCGCTTCAGTTCAGAGGTAAATGGTGTACTTTTACTCCACTACATGTATTTAATACCTTTAGTTACTTCACAGATGTGGATGAATGATGTGAAATCTAATCAAGTGTTGAATCAGACTTTAGTTCCACCTGGAGTAAATCCACCAGCTACCCTGCAGTATACAAAGTCATTCAAACTAGCTGCACCTTTACCAGCTTTGAGAACACTTTAACGATCAATCATTATAAAACATATCATATATATATATATACTACTTTTACTTTTAGTTCTTTAAGTAGATTTGAAATCCAATACTTTTTGTACTTTTACTTGATTGACATTTTGAATGCAGGATCTTTACTTATAACAGAGTATTCCTACACTGTGGTACTTCTACTTTTACTTGAGTAAAAGATCTGAGTACTTTTACAACCTGTTAAGACGGGAACATCATCTGCAGTAGATTTTGTACCACACAACACAGAGGAAAATGAAAGAAGGATTTGACTACTAAATGATCCAGAATAATCCCCACTGATCCCTGCTTCTTTCTGACGTGTTGCTTAAGAATCCCCCATGCGTTCAAGTCATTGCGATCATGTGTTCATCCTGTGTGTGATGTCATACCGTATCTCGTGCAGCTTCACCACCTCGTTGACCACCACCACCAGCAGCGGGGACAGAGAGACCAGCAGCCAGGCCAGCAGGGGGATGTCCCCCAGGTCAAAGGTCCGGAGGCTGCCACGGTCACGCCACAACTGGTAATCCACTGTGGCCTGAACCAACTGACTGAGCAGACTGGAGGCAGAAGAGAGGGAGAGGGAGTTAGCTCTGGACATTTACCATGGCTAGCAATATGTTTCTCCTGTGTATGGACGAGTGTGAACACAATTATCCATGAATGTTTCTTTGGGGCAAATGCAAACGCATGATATTGCATTGAGTTGTAACAGTTATAAAATGGAACAGCATGCTGTGGTTTAGGGGGTTACAGAAGTACCATGTAGAGACCACAAGAACCTTCTAGAATCTAGAGCTTGCTTTTCCGATGCCAGTAAAGGTTGATGTGAAGACAAAAGTGAGATCTTTTGTCATTATCAGTTCAAATATATCCTTCTGCTTCACACAATCGCCTGCATTTAGCAGAGAAACAGGGACTACATGGCAGTAGTCTTCCATTCAGTTATAACAGTTATCTGGATGTAACTCCAGTTCTATAAGTACTTTGTAGCCTAGCATCACCTGATATCTAAATGTGAACGTAAGAATGAAAATATAGTTAACCAGTGGATTATAATAAAGCAGGATACAGCTTAATGGCATACAATACACCCCTTCATGTTGAAGGTTGCTCACAGATGTAATCTTATTGATGCAGCCCAATAGCCTCTGAATCCTTGAAAGGGAAACCTCTAGAAAAGCAACAGATGAAGGACAGACAGGCAGGAAATAGATGTCGTGTGTACACATTTCATATTTGAACAGTTCAGACAGCATATCTCCACAGGTGATGACTTACACCACAGGTACAGTGAGACACCACCAGGTGTTGCTGAAGGGACTCTTCCTCCACAGAGGCTGCGAGCGGTGGACGTAGCTGAGGGAGATCACCACTGAGGATCAACCAAAAACACAAGAAAGGGCTTCAGGTAAATAACCGTACATGACTTTAACATCAGTAATGCTGCTTTCACAAGTGATTCCCTAGTGTACCTGTGTGTAAGACGAGGAACCCTGCCATGACCTTCTGAGTGAGCAGAAGGCCGTTTGACAGCTCCCCGAACCAGTGAGGAGCGTCCACTGAAGAGCTGCAGTCACACACAAACAGTCAATGTTCTATTACTGTGATACCATGAAATCACTGTCAACAGGCCTTTAGATGGAACAAGTGAGCCTGAGGCTGCTTCTCCTACCTGGCTGCGAGGATACGAAGGCAGGTGAAGGTGGTGTTCTCAGCTAAGGTGGTGGTGTTCTCAGCTAAGGTGGAGCTGCTGCAGCTACTACAGCAGAACTCCTGCAGGGTGAAGCCGAAGGCCACCAGGTAGGCACACACTGTCAGGCCGAACTTCAGCAGGAAGCAGCCGAGGAAGTAGTTCTGGGTCTGGTTGAAGAGGTTCAAAAGATGAGCAGCTCACACATAAGATTGTCCAGTCTTCTGAATACTGTTGTAGTTACCAGCTGTCTTTTATACTGATTACTGTTGTCTTAACAGCGGAAATGTCGACTTGTCATAGTAGTGAAATCACACGTGTTACAGATCGTGGTTCATTAGTGTCTCAGTGAGCGGTGGTCATGCATCATTCTTTCACATCCAAATCAACACAGCCATTATTCCTTTTATAGTATGTGGTTTCCTGCTGTGAAGTCAACATGTAAACAGGTCTCTCCCAAAAATCAAGTTAACAAGAATACTACCATTTTGTAAACATTATCACTACTTCATTGCTTTTTATAAGACGCCGCTATACAATCTAAAACAAAAGCTTTGCCATACTTCAAGCTTTTAAGAATCTTAAGTACATTTAAGTTAATACTGGTGTACAGGCATTTTAAAAGCTATTTCTTTGCGCAGCATAATAAAGAACCATTCAAATCCCCTTTTAGAAAGCACTCTAGTAGCAGTGCAAAGATATCCTAATAATTGTAAATAATCCTAATGTTTTTGGAATGCACGTAGACCTGTATGTATACATTAAGATGTATCAAAGGGCCTACCTGCTATTGATCAGCACTATTATGATACAGGTGTTTCTCTATGCACTTTGTACAGTAAGACACTGCTCAATAGTAGGAAGGTATGTTTCTCAAAGCTTAAGCAATAGTGACCCTCAGGAGACTGACAGGTGTCACTGACGTGTGATCCTACCTTCCTGGGAATAGCATCTAAGTTCTTCCCTGTCGCCACCGTCATCACTGAGCTCTCTGGAGGCTTCCCCAGAAACGACACACTGTCAACACAAACAAGTCATCAGCATGAAATGGTGTATGGCACAGCAAAATAAAAGCGTATAATGAGTGTGTAGAGTTTGGGTGTACCTCAGCAGCGGGCAGCTGAAGCAGGACATCCACAGGATGTCAGTGGTGTTCATGGGAGGAGGAAGCTGAGCCAGACACGCTAAGAACTGCAGGAAAACACATTATCATGTATGTAATGAGCTGTATTTAAATGTCAAACTGTAGCCTAGTGCAGCGTAAATATCCAGATATGGAGTACTCTCTCACCTGGAGGATGACGAGGCTGAGCTGACACTGCAGCAGGAAGAGGAAGCACTTGCGGATGCCGTAGGTTGTGTGTCGTGCCTGAGGCAGATTAAAGACAGATTCATACATGCGTTTGATTCCTCTCTCAGACTCAGTCTCTCAGTGGATGTGAGCGTGTCTGACCTGCTCGATGAGCTTGACCATGCTGACGCTCTCTCCTTGGTGGAAGGTGACGGAGCAGCCCAGACTGTTGAGCTGACCAGAGAGCCTCAGAGGAGACAGGCATTCAGCGTCTCTGTCGCTGAATCCTCCTGTGGCATATCCAAACGTCTCCCAGGAGCACTGCGAGGGGTACAGAGGGTCCAGAGCGATGCTGTGGAGGGAGGGGAGGGGACATTCACGTATGGGACCATCAGGGTTATACCTCTCTGCCCTGATGGGGCAATATAACCACATTATTTTATTCAGCTTGCCTGAAAAAAAACCTCTCACCTAAATCTACTGAGTAATTGTGTTGTCTGCGTTTGCCATGTATTAAAACATCAAATCCCAAATCACAGAAGGGCGCTGATAACATGCTGTGTATTTACCTGAGGTTACTCTGTAGAAACAGCCGACTGTTGCGGAAATTGGCGGAGCTTCCCAAACAGCATGTGACCTCCCTGTTCTCCTGCATGATCTTCATCATCTCACACATGGCTGTGAGGAAAAGCCACGTGTGTCAATATGAATGTAAAGCAAAAACAAAGCGTATCCAGGACAGAGGGAGTCATTCCGATCAACTTTTCTTTCCATAGAAAAGGCCTTACATTTCACATCTTGAGGGGCAGACGAAGATAACGGGAAAAGAGGACACCTTAATGTAATGTACAAAACAAAAGGGAATTGGTTCATGTAACAGCTTGGTTGGAGCAATGCCGTCTGCGACTAAATGTCAGTAAAACTGGATGTATGTTCTTCACCAAAACCAAGTCCTCCTGCGTTGAGCCAGATGTGTTTGTGTCCGGGGAGAGGCTACGGGTGGTCTCACAGTACAAATACCTGGGGGTCTTCATTGATTCAAGACTACATTTTAAGGCTCAGGTGAAAAAGGTTTGCAACAGGGTCAAATTCAGTGTGTCAAATGTGAGGTTTACCAGAGAGTGCATGTCAACAGAGGCGGCTCTGATGTACATGCACTCTATGGTTCTATCTCACATCACATACTGCTTAACAACCTGCTCACATGCCGCACAACCACTCTTAAACCCCTGGAATCATTATACAAATAAACACTTAAAATAGTAGATAAGAAGTCAGTTTATTCTCATCATTGCTCAATACTCACAAAATATAACTTGTTGAGCTGGGAACATGTAATGAGATATGCAAATGCTTGCCTCATGTACAAAATAATACACGGCCTTACCTCACCTCCGCTCAGACATGTGATCACCAGACGCACACCTGTAACAGGTCAACAAGAGCTGCAGCAAGAGGACACTGCCTTGTTCCATTAAGGAAGAGCTCATTCAGCCAATCTTCTTTTTCTTTTAAAGCTGCACAACAGTGGAACTCAATCCCAGTAACGATTAGAGAACAAAACACCTGCACTTTATTCAAATCTAACTTAGAAACATGGTTAGTGGAAAGTCAGCTCTGTCAACACTGACACAATCTGCACTTTAACGCTCTGTTTGTACATGTGCCTTGACCTGTTGCTATCTGTCTGCTTTGTGAATAGGTATTTTAGTTTTTATATATTCTTTTATTATAATATAAGCATCTATGTTGAATGTTGTTTTACTGATTGTATTTACCTGTCATTTGAAGTGAATTTCTTTTTTTTTTTAGGATGACTAAAACATCTGTCCAGGGACTGCAGATGAAAAATAGCCTGTTGGCTGACTCTGGCGCATTTACAGAAATGTTAATCAATGTGCACTGCCCCTGTCAAATAAATACAAAATAAATAAATACAATTAAATAATTAGGCAGAATGAGGTTGACTCACTGTCAGGGGTGCAGTCAGTGAAGAGGGGCACCAAAAGAGGCACATTATCAATGTTCTTCAGGTGAGGACGAACCTGGTGGATACCCCGAGGTAGCTTGGCCTGAGAGAGAACAGACAAATTGTTCAGACTCACATTCACTCATTTAGGTTCTTCAGAAGACAAGTGTAGAGGCCCACACACAGACAACACATCCTTTGGTGCTGGTGCAGTCTGTTAGACAGTAGTGAGAATCTGAACTCCTTTATTCGTCCCACAAAGGGGGAAATGTACAGATAAAGAAAATAGAACACTTCATTGATTTTCTAAGCAGTGTTGTTACCCTGTTGCAGTCCTCCAGAAAGCTGGGCACATCACTGTCTGTGGGCTGGAAGCTGGCCAGGTCAGAGTGGGCTTCCTCCTCTGTCAGCAGGGGGCCCTCAGCTTCATCACGAGAATCTGACACATGTGAAGAGAGCTGTCTAAAATCTGACATTTCAAAAGTCACATTTTATAAGAAGCTTTACCGGGGTGCACTTGTTGAGGCTGGATTAAAGAAACATGTATCTGAGGAACACACACCATACTATAGGAAGGACATTGAAACAACACAGAGCGTTAACCTGTTGAACCCCATCCCTGTTTTTCAGGTCTCAGGCTCGGAAAGGACATTCCCAGAACTAATGACCATAACTCTAAAAGGGGAACATTAATAATCTTTTCTCTCAAAGTAATGATAAACCTGTGAGTTGGATGTAGAAGAGTCAGAATCAATATACTGTAGATGTTTTTTATTTTTAAAGAAAATTCAGATTGAACATAGTAAAGAACGGTAAATTATAGAGTCCGTCCAAAAATGATTTTGTACTTATAGTGAAAAGCACCCTTGAATGATGGTAAGGTAGACTAAAAGCTTTAGGAATCCAAAGTACAACATATTATAAGTACCCTGTATCAAGATTGATGCAAAACAAGTGACATTTGACTTTTTTAGAGAGGTTTAGCAAAAGAAAAACACTTCTGGGGTCATCTGGGTGGATTTTCCATATCTCTGGAACCCATCGGTTGATTTTGATGATTGACAAAAAAAAATGGATCAGTTAGCTGAGTTTCTTCCCGTTACATGGATATGAAACATTCATAGTTTATTAAATATTAAGAAGCCCTCAGACGCTGTTTCCTGCAGATGATGCGTTTTTCCGCCCGGGGGTGGGTCGATGGGGTTCAACAGGTTAATAAACATGGAGGGGTTCTGTTTACTTTGGATTTAACGGCACGCTCACTGTTCCAAGAAATTTCATATTTGAAGAAAATCAAAATGAAACCCCATCTGTTATAAACTCTCCAAACATACACGTCTTTGTATGAGTAGTAAAGGCATCACATCACTATACTCTCACATACAGATGGAAATATCAACAACATATTAATAAGCACTAGACTTAAAACAGACGGACAGTTTAAGATGAGGGGGTAACCTCCTTGATGTCTAAAATCAGTGAATGTTCCCTTCAAGTATTTACGTCCTTACACCTCCAGAGTAACCTTGAGAACTCGTACTAATGGCCAATTTAAATCTGCAGTGCGTAGAAAAAGCATCTCTATGGTCCATCTCTATGCTAAATGGAAATGAATGAGTGTTAGACTGAGGTACCTTCATGCATGGAGCCCTGCGTGGGGCTGGATGGAGCTCCGTCACAGGAACTCTCTCCGTTTGGAGTCAGAGAGATGTGACAGTTCCAGCCTGTCTCCAAGCCCATCTTCTCTGCAAACACCTGCACACACACACACACACACACACACACACACACACACACACACACACACACACACACACACACACACACACACACACACACACACACCACACACACACACACACACACACACACACACACACACACACACACACACACACACACACACACACACACACAAACACACACACACACACACACACACACACACACACACACACACACACACACACACACACACACACACACACACACACACACACACACACACACACACACACACACACACACACACACACACACACACACACACACACACACACACACACACACACACACACACACACAACTGCTCGTGAAATCCAACACATGTAGCTTCTATTTTTTTATACATGTTCCTCATGAACAATTCTCACTTAAACGACGTATGTTATATATACAGGGTATATGCAGGAATCCTGAAGTCAAAGTAAGACCTTTTAAGACCTTTTTTAAGACCCTTTCCGTACATTTTAAGACCTCATCGTCACTTGGAGTTCTAACCGGTTACCTTGGCGACACACTCTACCTCACATTGACTACATACAGTATTGATTGTCCTTCCTCCTTATCTTCCAACCATTTGGACGCAGACTTGCATTTCCCCATAACGATGTTGTTTAACAACCGGCGTAAACTGACCTTCGCGCTATCAAGCAGTGAGCGTGCGATGTCCTGTTCAGATAACGTCCAATCCAACGGGATGCCATAAATAAACTACACAGAATCACACTACACACCTACGCAATGATTACATTCAGGCAGACTGTAGAATACAATCTCTTTGGACCATTTATATACTTATTGAAAACAAGCTGCAACATGTAACACCTTGGGAAATGCAGTTTAATACTTTTAATAGCCTTAATTTTCGCTAAATTGATTTATCAACCTTTAATACTTTTTAAGACCCCGCGGACCCCCTGTATATATTATTTTTAAGGATGGGAGGTTGTTACTATGGCACAGGTCTACTGCTAACCTCTAATGCGTTTTTTTGTAGCAATTACTGCAAACTTGGAAACTTTTGCATATTTGGATTGCACAATGACTTTATAATGGAAGATCCATTGTGCTTCCGGGGAGACATACAAAGACAAAAGAATGCAGCGGCCCAATTTCTGTCCAAGACTCTGTTAGATGTTCCGAGGAGCTCATGTGTGTTCACCTTGCTGCGGAGCTCGTCTTCCATGGAAAAGTAAACAAAGCGGATACAGGCGGTGACGAGGGAGTCGATGAGTCGGACGGTGTCCAGCCGGGCCTGGAACTGGGACGACACCATGCCCATGAAGATCTGCCCACTGAGGGCCTGCACACAGTCCTCCCGCTCCACCCCCTCACCTATACCCTCTGCAGACGAGGGGGAGAGAGATAAAAGGAAGATGAGAATCAAGTTGAATCATACTTTAGCTACACGTCTCCTGTCATTAAGTTGTACCGTCAGAGCTCCAGCTGTTCCTGCAGGAGTTTTGTTTGATGGGGGTGGTGGAGGGCAGCTCCACCCCGGAGAAGAGCCCGGGACTGGGGGCCAGCTCCACACACATCCCATTCAGTTGGCTGGACAGGGATACTTGCATGGGTTTGTAGGCAAAGGCTGAGCAGTACCCTGACAGACAAGCCCGCTGGTAGAAGTCCAGAACCTTCTTTCTGTAGCAGGAGAAGGGAACGTTAAACTAAAGATAAGGAGAAGACCGCTGGAAATAGGGAAGATATCCACTTCTGATATTATCGTGATTCTTTCATTGAAACAGGTTGAAAAGATTCGATGTGAGAGTTGCTGCACCTGTCAGAGCCTGAGAGGGGATAGATGTCAGTTCCATCCCAGAAGTCAGTGCAGGACTCGAGGATGAGGTCGGCTGAGCCATGTGACAGCATCTGGACGTTATCTGAAGCAGGGAGGTCAGAGGTCAGATTGAAATAATAGTGAAATAAAAAAAAGGGAAGGGAAAGGGACAAATGGGTAATTCTCACCACCATGGTAGTAATGATTTGAAATATATAACGTGTAATTAAGTAATTTAACAAAATATCATTATAAAGACAATAGTTTTCTCTACCTTGCACATGGAGTCATTTCAACATAAGAATGGAATATTTTTGGATTTATTGCATTTTTGCCTGAAATTCTCATTACGTGTGCGGCCCTGTCTAAAATGTACTTTATGTTGTAAAATATCCAGAAAAAAAGAAATGCACATTCTACTTCATACTTTCAAATGATAGAAGAAAATGAAACAGAACAATGGACAGAATGACAGCCTGAAGTGTGTGTGGACTCACTGGAGGAAGAGTCCCGTACAAACAGGGAGATGAGGTGAGAGATGGGAGGCTGCCGCTTGGTAAAGTAATGAAGGCGTCGAGACGAGAACTCCTTGTTCTTCTCTCCAGACGGCAGCTGGTACAGAGCCAGGTGGTTCTCCTGTCTGAAGAGCTCCCGCGCACCAGGAGTGAACCCTGACACACACACACACACACACACACACACACACACACACACACACACACACACACACACACACACACACACACACACACACACACACACACACACACACACACACACACACACACACACACACACACACACACACACACACACACACACACACACACACACCACACACACACACACACACACACACACACACACACACACACACACACACACACACACACACACACACACACACACACACACACACACACACACACACACACACACACACACACACACACAACATTTGAGTCTGTAGAATATAGTTTGTAGGCCACTGCAGCACATTACATTACTTCCTTCACAATGGTATTTAAAACAAATGTCATTGTTCCCGTTAAAAAACATTAGGCCACTTGGGATTTGTATATTGCACAGGGTCATATTGCCTTTTAAAAAAAATGTCAATCAACTTTTCAGCCCTAAATGCAAGATAGCAACACACCACCACTATGTTAAAACCATGTGGGGGGAAGCTTTTTGCTAATGGTACTAAGACGTTTACGTCGTGGGATGAAAGTCAGATCAGATTTCTGCCCTCAGAAAAACATTTAAAGGCCAGACCATCTGAAGAATATGATGTGTTGCTGTCATCTTGTATAACACAAACCCATACTAAGGGAGGAATCAGGCCATGGTGTAAAAAAGCTAAAACCAACTAAAAAACTCCATGCTCACCTATAAGCCTGGAGAGTTCGCAGAGCCCCCAGGGCACGCAGACGGGCAGCACGGAGCCGTGGCTCTCCTGCAGGGCCAGGTTGGAGAGGTGGTCGGAGAAGCGGCAGAGCTGCTGCGTGACGCTGGCGTTGCACAGGTTCAGCATGATGTTGAGGCCCAGAGGCTTGAGGGACGGCAGGTGGCACTGCCAGGAGAGGTCGTCGAACTGGATGCTGGTCGGGTTCTGCTGGTCCTGAGACAGGCTCAGCATCTCCAGGTGGTAGTCGCACACAAAGTCGTCGGCCTCCGCCTCCGGGCAGCCAAAGTCCTGCAGAGTGACGGGACGGAATGATAAGACAAACAACACCAAAATAAAATATAATCTTCCCATTTTTCACAACTATTTGGTACACTTGAGAATCAGAAGTCCTTAATTAGTCCCACAGCGGGGAAATGTACAGTGTTACAGCAAAAGCGGCATTGCAGGTAAAAATGGCAAGCAATAATAAAGAAGCTAACTTGTTAAATATCGAGAAAAGGCACACAATAGTAATCAAATCAATATGAAGACAATAAAGACATGGCATCAAATGTGTAGCAGCAATAAAAAAAGAAAAGAAAAGTGACATAAGTAACAAATGATTGTGTTGAGACATTATAAAAGTTTCAGAAGATGGAGTTCCCGTTCTTACCTGGCCCGGGTCATTCTCGCCTCCCTCAGTGTCGCGGCTAAAGCTCACGTTGGATCCCGAGTGGTGTTTGGTGCGAGTGGGTGCAGGCTGGCAGGCGCGCCGCTGCTGGAATGTGTCCGATGAGCGAGCGGTGTCATGTGACGTCTCGCTGGGCTCAGGCCCCTCCCCCATCTGAGTGGATGGCTCTGCTGGCAGACAGAGCAGAGCCTCCGCCTCCTGGGCCTGGACAGCAGTCAACAGCAGTCAGTACTGGGCATCAGGGGAGGAATTCTACAGTAACAGACCTAGCACTGGAACTAAACTAACAATCACTAAAACTCCCTGAACAACACACACACACACACACACACACACACACACACACACACACACACACACACACACAACACACACACACACACACACACACACACACACACACACACACACACACACACACACACACACACACACACACACACACACACACACACACACACACACACACACACACACACACACACACACACACACACACACACACACACACACACACACACACACACACACACACACACACACACACACACACACCACACACACACACACACACACACACACACACACACACACACACACACACACACACACACACACACACACACACACACACACACACACACACACACACACACACACACACACACACACACACACACACACACACACACACACACACACCTCATCCCGGTCATCGTCTGCCTCCACGCGGCAGTAGGAGCTGACGGAGAGGTCGTCTCTGAGATCGTCCTGGCTGTTGTGAGGCGGCTCCACCCGTCCGCTAAAGAACAGCACCGTCTCTGGGCTGGGGTTGGGCCACGACAGGATACCCTGCTTATCCACACAGCACAGCACCTACACACACACAAAAGATTTACAACCTACACGCATCAAATAATGGAAACATAGCATATCACTATCTCATTCATCAGCTAATTTGTCAGAAATACAACAAAAGAGGAACTGCTGTATACATCCATGGTTAGCAGTCAGTCAACAATTCTTATTCTTATTTGTATTTAATTATTCTATCAAAACCTGGGTCTGTGAGTCAGTCCATCCTCTTATTCTGTGAAGTAAATGTTAGCAAAGCAGCTGAAGTGTATTTGATTGAATTCCTGGCTTCATACAAACAACAGGGAATGGCATCAGTTTGAGGTCCTCTTCATGTGGGAACAATATGGGTTTGGGATTGTATCTGGTTATGTGATTTATTTACTTAATTTCCCTGTTAGACATTCAAGGTGGACCTGCAGGGTAATTGTACAGAAAGAAAACCCAATTGATAGATGTAATGATCCCCAAACCCCCCCGAAGTACTTACAGTGACAGATCCCAGAGTGTGTAAAAGGCTGGAAGTGTAACAGAGGGTCTGGGACTCTCCCTTCAGGACGCCAAGCAGGTGTCTCCACACACAGCGCAGCAACTCCTACACACACACACACACACAATGAGTGTCATAAATAAAGTGTTTCAGTTATTCAATTGGACAGAAACTAGCAGTGAATTATCAAATAGATTTAACATCTTAGCCTAAATCTTAAATCAGCTGTAAAGCCCAACTAGACTGAATCAGCTCTGAGAGTGGGCTGGAAAGAAAGACAAAGGACACAGATGCTAGGCTACAAAGCGAGGAGGTGAAGCCTGGGGCAAGATGCAGCATTGTAACACATCCATGCAGATTTGGATTCTTTTGGATGGAATCCATGATGACTCTTTTCGAGAAGGGACAAACCAAAAATAATCACAAGTAGATCTTCCTTACCCCCTTTCCTTTTCATCCGTGACTCACTTCATCGGCTCTGGGCTGGTACATTTAGTGTCAATTAGGGGTTTCACATAAAGCTACAATCCTGTTTGCAGGATTTGATCATAGATCCTTATCCTGGATGGAAATGAGCTTGTCCCTTAAAGGTGCTGACTATATCAGTGTGTGCATGGAGCCTCAGCGTTTGGATCGCTAAGGATAAGTGCACTGATGTATATGGCAAATGTGACTACTGCACAAATACATCTGTTAAGGGTCACTCAGTTGTTATTATTCTAAATAATATTTGTATTTATTTATATCTCTGATGTACATTAATCAGTTGCAATCACGTAGCTTGCTCAATTATTCAACTTTATAATCATCTTCAAGGGGAAATGATGTTTCAAATAGCGTAACCGTAGTGCAGTGACTATTACAAAGTGTTCTGCCAAGTAAAGATCCAATCTGCATGTGATGGTGTGACCAATTCAAACATATTTTCATTATCATTTCAATGGGGATAAGGAAGGGACCCAAGAGGAGGAAAGGCTAGACAATGAGCAGCATGTGGTCGTATTGGGGCTGATTTCCATGCAGTGCAGGGCAGGCAGACAAGCAGAGGTGGAGAATCAGGCTCAGTCTCAACGTGAAAGTCCATCTCCAATCATCTCTTCCCTATTTGATCGGTTTTAACAGTGCCATAACAAAACACTAATCCTTCCAGAAAGACAGATCGGAGGAATCTACTGATGGCTGCTGATTCCTTTGTTTTCCTTTGAGCACAAAGCCCAACAATGATTGGGTTTCAGCTCGACCACAAATCGTTTATAAATGTGCTATATAAATACAACTTGATTTGTCAGGAAGTGTAAGAGGTTAGGGGAATAGAAGTTCCATCCAAAAGGGGAGAGAATGATCTTAAAGAGGCAGGTTTGATTGTTAACCAATCAACAGGCTTCTGAGGAGAATCATCCAGAGGTGCTCACTCAAGACGTGCTGAATCATATTCCACAGATGAAGTGATCAAAACCAAATGATTATGAGAGAAAATAACATGTTGAGCGAGATCAATCGAAAACTGAAGCAAAGTAAAAAAAACAAGGTAGTGAACACATGGAGAATCAGAGAGGTGGTCTGATCAGATGTCCATGTTTTAGAATCAAAGATGTAATGCAGATTAAGGGTCAGGGGGTGGAGGTGGGGGAGTAGCTAGAGCTGTGTGGGGGGGGGGTTCCAGAGAGGGAGTTGCAAAGGGCTCAGACAGCAAGCGCATAAAGACAGGCAGGTTCAGGTGGAGTCAGGAGCCAAGCGAGTGGAGGAGGGGGGTGAGACAGCGAGGGGTTATACCTGGGAGGAAACCACTTCGGTGTAGCTGCTTAGAGTGTCCTCAGAGAACTTAGCAAGCTGGGGCGAGAGAAGAGTCTAGTTAAAACACAGAGGGAGGCCTGGCTGTGTCTCCTCTGTGTGTGAGTTAGGGTTAGGCTGATGTGACCACTGTCACGTCTTCTGACTCAACAGGTGCCAGCAGAGTGGTGCAGGGATAACGGACCTTTGGAAGTTAACATCGGAAGGATTACAGAACATAAGATATGTGGCAAAGACACCCCATGCATATTTAGTCACATAGAGGCCTCAGACCTTCATCAGTGGGGTATTTCAAGTTGATTTGATGTCGTAAAACAAAACATTAAAATCTCTTCAGCTTGTGTCAACCACAGATCTTATTTCTAACCAAAAACTCATTCAGAAACCATTGACTTTGAGAGGAGGGAAGCGAGGGTGGTCAAATGCTGATTTATGTCTGGGTTTTAGAACTCATTCCTGCACCACTCCTCTCCTTCTGATGAAGTCATTTAACATTAAGACAATAACAAAGATGTGCTTTCTCTGTACTAAAGCCAAAAGAACTTCAATGAGAGGAACATTTGCACAAAAACATTTGAAAACTACAGGCAATGTAGTTACTTTGGGGCTTCACCACTCTGAACAATGCATTCCTAGAAGTTGGGAACGTTATACAAAAAGAACCAGTACTGGTTACCTAATATGCATTTGAAGTCATTATATCAGTGCAGAATACAGAGGCCAAAATGAATTATTATTGGTTAAACATCACTAGTATTGGCCAGTAAAGCTATTATTATAATAACAATAATCAAGATGTTATGTTACAGTGTTAAACAATGGTGTAAAAAGGTATCTACACTACTTTCTCCACATCCCATTCACAAGAAAATCATTCACACAAATAAAAAAGCAAGAAAATGAACCAGACCAAAGCTGGCAATGCAGATCACCACCTGTACAACAAGTAAGTCAAGTGTGTGTGTGTGTGTGTGTGTGTGTGTGTGTGTGTGTGTGTGTGTGTGTGTGTGCGTGCGTGCGTGTGTGCGTGTGTGTGCGTGCGTGTGTGTGTGCGTGTGTGCGTGCGTGTGTGCGTGTGTGTGTGCGTGCGTGCGTGCGTGTGTCCCTCACCAGACCAGCTGGAGATGCACGGCTGAACTCAGCGAGGACCCTGGCCTCTCCGAAGGCGTTCAGCAGCACCCACATGACGGGGAAGAGCAGGGGCAGGACGGGCAGGACACCCATCAACTGCACATACAATGACACATCTCTGAACACAACGATCTTTTTCAGATATACATCCTTTGTAACCACAAATTCTACATCTCTAATTCATTACCAACATTTAGAACTGAATTTGTCTTCAATTGATTATAATTCAAATATAAACCGTATGGCTTTGTCTATAAACAATGTGAAACGAGACATGCCGCATACACTCCAGTGGTTGTTAGCTACACATTTGTACTTTGGTATGATTGTACCTGAAGTTGAAAGAAATTGAAGCAGGCGGGAGTGAGGCTGGGTGCATCAATAAAGTAGCGGACAGTGTTGACCAGCAGGAAGGCCACCTAGAGGAGAGGTCATTCAGTGAGTTCACTTACATCTGGACAACAGGTGGTTTCCTATACATATTTAGAGACTTGCTGTTGTATGCTCACCAGAACCACTGGACAGACATGCTTGGTGATAACCGACTGCACTGTGAACCTCTCATTATCCAGCACTGTGATTGGTCGAGCCAACGCCATCTCCAAACTGTTACTGTGGGGGAAGAAAACATCATTTTTCATAAGGAGCTGACATATTCTAGGTGTTGCTGTCATTTACTTCAACTCTGAACAATCTAAAGACTCAACGATACCTAGATTTACTGACTATGGTGCATTTGTATTTCAACAGTATACTCTTACTGGTCTGAGAGCTGATATTATAGAGCTTTAATTGTGTTGCAAACCCTTTGTCCAAAACACAAGTCAAACTAACTGATGATGTTTATGCAGTCGTCGTCTTTGGTGTAGGTCACATCAACTTCTAACAGCAATGCATAAGGGAACCAGAGAGAAGATGCATTCTTTGAAATCACTTGCCAGTTATGAATAACAACAAATACAAAAAAACAACACATAATGCCTTCTCAACAGCCAGCCCCAGCGCGGCAGGTTCCCTACCTGACTATGTCCAGTACTGGAGTCCGCACCACCCTGAAGAGGCGGTGCTGCTGGGGGCTCTGAGGGCCTCTCTTCTCAGTGGAACGCGGGGAAGGGGGAGGGGAGAAGGGGGGGAACAAATCTCCTGGCTCCAACACAATGTGCTCATCATCCTGAGGAGAGAGGAATAGATTTAGATGTTCACATTCTGTACCAACTGATCGACAGTCGTAGTTAGAACATTGAGATAATAGAACTCACTGATACACTTCTGCTGCTGTTCTAAAGGAAGAACCCTCTTAGTTATCATACAAATGTGTGTGTCGTTCTTTCTGAATGCTTTTGACCTTTACCTCTGCTCATTCATGTCCTGCAGTGATGTCACCATGTAACACCAAACACTGCATTTTATTGTAGAGGAAATCGCTGAGCTCTTTAAAACAGCAAGTAGTTCCATTTTCTTTTCATCAATCAGTTCGCCCATAGTATCTAAGACAAGATGATGAGTCAATGATACTAAGGGCGATGAGCTGAATGTGACTCCTATGCTGTGACTCTTACTGCTCCGTTGTTACCATGTTTAAGAAATAGTAGCATGAACTCTTTTTTAAAATGTTCAAATGTTTTCTGTTGTAATGTCAGTTTATAATTGTGGATTTAAAATTGAACATTTTAATGAATGAGTATTGTAAGTTGAATTATGAATAGTCAAAAGCTATACTGTATTGGTGATAGGCAAATTGAATGCACTGAGTATGACCAGAGGGCTAATGAGGAGGAAGCTTGTGAGAGGCCATAATGTGCAGTTTCCTCCTGTACCAAATGTGACTTCCTCTGCATCTGAACACGTGTGCATGTACATGTCTGTGAGTCCACGCACAGACTAACCTTAATGCCTCTGAGGGAAGCGAACGCCTCCTGGCCCGGCCTGAGAGCGATGATGTCCCCCTCCACCAGCAGACTGATGGGCAGGTTCACCAGCTGGGAGTCTCTGTAGGTCCAGTGCAGGGACCACGAAGGGGATGAGGGTGTGTACAGATCGGGGTACTGAGAGGGAGACCACGGCACCTCCCCCACACACCCTGACAGGTAGTCTGGAGGAGCAGGCGAAAAGAGTGAGGACACATTTAGAGAGGAAGAGGGGAGTGTGACAAACATCAATGTGATTATGTAAGCACTGTGGAGAAATGCATATACTCCTATGTTCTGTCAGAATGTGCTCACTGATTTACAGACAGCTTCTAGAATTGTCACGGTCCAACAATGTACTACCAAAGATTATATATTAAATTGAGTGACAGTGCTGATGGCTGGAAAATATTTGTTTTTACCACTCTATGATGCAATGCATGCACTAAGTGCTTCCCCTAGGGGAGGGTGCTGCCTGAGCAGGGGAGGGGGGGGGGTGGCATTGGGATATATATTTTTTTAAATCCCCTCCAAGACAATGGTAGGGGAAACACTGCACTATGTATGCAGAAAAAGTTGAACGTTTAAACAAGAGTGGACAGCTGCTGTGTCACAGCTGACGGTGGCTTTCACTCATGCCAACCATACAAAATCAGCCCCGATAACAATATTGCAGATCAAATGTATACATTCAACTATTTCTCTAAATGGGTAAGCTCCTGCAAATGAATATGCTTCGGGCTGAAGGTAGAGTGTATAAAGTAGTTTAGCCTAATAAGCCACATGTTTAGACTTTAAGGTAAAACCCTCCAGGCTCATGTTAAGGGAAGAACAGAAGTGCAACAGATAAACAGGGATTTTCTTGTACGCCATGATTCCTCTATATTTCCGGTGTTGCCTCACCGCTGAGCTGTGTGATGATGCCCTTGAGACGGCGCACCATCTCTGTCCTCTTCAGCCGCTCCTGACGTCCCACCAGCAGCAGGTTGAGCAGGAAGAGAAGGAGCAGGGCGGCAGCGTTCACCAGCTCGATACCAGAACTGTGGAGGTGCACATGCCACGTGTGACAAATTCAATAGAAATTCAAGGCTTCGGCCTTTACCAGGTTCAGCACACTTAGAGACTTGTATCCTCAATTATAAAAAGTAAATTCTAAAAGGAATTTGAATTGAATCCCTCTGTGAAACCACCATGTATACACTTAAAGCAGATGTATCCAAAGTCATTGGTGTTTCATTGGCCAGTCAGTATTGATCAGGTCACATACATATTTAGTGTGTAGCTGATGGTTTATACATGATTCTTTTCATAAGAACGTCTGTAGACACATTGTTCACATCAATAGCATCACAACTGAGCAACATGTAGTCATTAATTGTGTAAAGTTAGTAGTTTTGATCAATCTGACAGAATCTGAATAAAAACATGTAGCTAAAAAGTGAAACAGAAACAAAATAATGAACATAATACGGGACAAAGATTGATATTGCTGCTGTGCATGAAATATCATAGATGTTCCAGAACAGGTCAGCCCATAAAGAGGGCACCTACCTTCCCTTTGGCTGGCTGCCATGGCAACAGAGGAGTCCCAGCACCACCAGTAGAGTGAGGGCAGCTCCCGGCCAATGGAGACAGGAGTGACGGTTGCCCATGGTAAAGGAAGCTATTATCCCCCACTGTTCCTAGGAAAAGCCATTAGGGATGATGCGGTAAGAAAACTCAGTCAAAACATTTAGGAGGAAGATATTTGCCGATATGAACGTGTAGCTTGTGATGTGTTCTGTACCTGGGCCAGAGACCCGTCTGCGTTGCCGCCCTCTGGTGCTTGCTCCAGCATGGCTGCTCAGACTGTCCTGGAGCTTCAGCAGAGCCTGGCCCGTAGACCGACCCCCAGAGGCAGCGCGTCTCCCTCCTGCGCACACACACAGCACACACACACACACACAACACACACACACACACACACAACCACACACCACCATCACACACACACACACCACACACACACAACACACACACACACACACACACACACACACACACACACACACACACACACACACACACACACACACACACACACACACACACACACACACACACACACACACACACACACACACACACACACACACACACACCACACACACACACACACTACACACACACAACACACACACACACCACACACACACACACACACACACACACACAACACACACACACACACACACACACACACACAACACACACACACACACACACACACACACACACACACCACACACACACACACACACACACACACACACACCACACACACACACACACACACACACACACCACACACACACACACACACACACACACACACACACACCACAACACACACACACACACACACACACACACACACACACACACACACACCACACACACACACACACACACACACACACACACACACACACACACAATTAGATTCTTCCAAAGCTTGAAGTTTTGACCATGTATGAGCCGGTATTAGGTGTATTATGTCACATACAGAACCGTTTAATGAGACTTTTTGATACCTTTTGATTCAAATGCATAACATTTTAAGAGTGTTCAAGATGAAGATAACCTGCTATTGTCGACAGATTCAAAATCAGACCCTCTTTATTGAGCGAGAGAAATTAAAGAGTGATTGTTTTTTTTTTCTCTGTGTTTTCGTTCAATAGAGCAAATAAACGCTCCCACGCGTCCTGTGAGAAGGTTTTTGTTTTTTTTATGAATACTGCCAAGACACATGCTTCATCCAGCTGTGTGTTCTGTGTGTGGCTCACACTGACAGCAGTACACGGCTCCACCAGGAACATTATATTAATGAAGACTATTTTGTTAAGATCTTACTTCTTATGTCAAATGAATAAATATTGCCTTAAATCATTGCAGGAAAAAATAATTATCCATCGCTTTCCCTAAATGGCTTCAATTTGAAATCAATGCTGTTATCAATTCCTTTTCTGAGAATTGATCAATCAAAGCGATGGTTTGAACACTTATCTTTGCCTTGAGAATACTTTATGTGTGGTCAAGCTATATCTGGTGTTAGTGGGAAAGAAACTGTTCCCACTCTCCATGTCACTATGAGGAGGTGTGTGTTTTTGAAAAGGCCTGCGCATACGCCAACACAAAGACATACACATCATAAAAATGCCCAAACATACACACACAGAGTTCAGCTCTCAAGCTCTACATCCCACACAGGCAAGCTATAAATATCTCCCCATTTCCCAAGAGAAACAAAGCCTGAACCAAAATCCTCCAGACAGACGTGAACGAGAGTAAACTAGTGAAGCAGAGTCTGCTCACAACCAGGGAGGATCTCCATGAACCTCACCAACAAATCAAGAGCATTAGAACAACATACAATCACATCTGACCAGAGGTCGCGTTAACCGAATATTTTCCGTCTATGACGGATTTTTTTTTTAACAATGACGGACAAATCTGAAAGCAGTCCGTCATTTTGACAGATTAGAACAAACTCAGAACAGCGCCAAAATTTCCCCGCAGCGAGGCTCCGGTGTTATGCCGTGTTATGCATGCCCTCCAAAAAGGAAATGATACCGTTTCCAAACCTAACTGTGCCGTACAAATCATTGAAATGTCTGTGAGTTTTGGCTTTACGCTGTGCACGCTCCCGCGAGGTGCAGCAGCCAAGCATAACACGGCGCATGTGAACTGTCTCTCTCCCCCCCCCCCCCCCCTTGACAGTTCACGAGCATGCTTCCCCCCCCCCCTCGTCAGAGTTGTGTAAAGGCCGACGGGTAATTCTGGATTTTGACGGAAGTTTTACGATCCTGTCCGTCAAAATGACGGGCAGCGAAAAAGTCTAGCGCAACCTCTGCATCTGACTGACACTTTCACTCACATCCTGTTACATTAGTTTAGCCTTGAGGAGAATGTGTTCAACTTCAAACACACAGAAACACACAACAGTCAGTTTGCTGTGTAAGAGGCTTTACACTGAAGAATATCCCTTTGCCTGCATTCAACACCATGCTCTGCTTTGCTTCACTCAAATCTGGATTTCTGCTGATGGGTTACAAGGGTAATATCCAACGGCAGCCGTGCTTTGTGACAAGACTCATTACATGTCTGAAACTAGTTCTAAGGATGTGAATAAAGTCCAACTGGAGCCTGCTCATGTCTACAGTCAGGAGAGAGATGCTGCAGAATGTCTCTGGTCAGTGGGCTGCAGAACACAGAGCTGCTGGGGGGCTCTTTTGATGTGAAGAAGAATGCCAACCTGGTCTGTATAAGCTTATAATATTTGCCTCTCTTGCAGGCTTAGCGTATTTTGCAATGATTTAGGGCTGCATACAGAGGATATAGAAAGATAATTAGTAGAGAAGATGGCTGACAGATTGACAAACAAAATTACAACTAAGTAAAGCAAAGCAACAGAGGGACACATTATTTAAAGTTTCCCGCTTAAAATGTAAAGGCAAGTAACATCGGTGATTTAACATCTACAATAGGCGCTTTCACACCGCAGAACTTTTCCCACAAAGGTTCATCAGAACTTAGTTCATGAGAACTCTTTAGTTCTCATGAACTAAGTACAGATCGCGTTTACACCGGAATAAATTCCCTGAGGGAAGATTACGCAAATGATGCCGCTGACGTCACTTCTTCTTCTGCTTTGGGTTTACTGGCAGGCCGCAAACAACTTCACGGCGTATACTGCCACCCGAAGTCCCCGGCCGGAAGTCCCCGGAGTTGGGGACTGGCTTCAGTAGAAGCTGCTGGGACTCCCAGCAGCTTCTACTGAAGCCTTCCGAGTAAGTCGCCAGAATGCCGACACCTCCTCATCTCCACCGCTCCCATGTTTTATTTTGTGTTGCCATAAGTTAGTCTCTCTGCGTTTGTGCGCTGGGCTAATGCTAATAATGCTAATGCGAGGATAATAAAATGGCGGCTTCACAAAACATTTTGGGAGTTTTACGGGGCGTGGTTTGCAATCCGCCCAGCCAATCAGAAATAGGAACCTTTGGGACCGCTAGGGGCGTCTAATGGAGTAGACGGATCTAACAGGTGGTCCTGTTACTTCATAATAAATCCATTAACATCCTGCTATTTTTTGTTCTAATTCGACCAAAACTTGACCCAGTTTAAGATTAAAGCTAAATATTTGATCTACTATTGGAATATACAGTGGGGCAAAAAAGTATTTAGTCAGCCACCAATTGTGCAAGTTCTCCCACTTAAAAAGATGAGAGGCCTGTCATTTTCATCCTAGGTACACCTCAACTATGAGAGACAAAATGAGAAAATAAAAATCCAAACAATCACATTGTCTGATTTTTAAAGAATTTATTTGCAAATGATGGTGGAAAATAAGTATTTGGTCAATAACAAAAGTTAATCTCAATACTTTGTTATATACCCTTTGTTGGCAATGACAGAGGTCAAACATTTTCTGTAAGTCTTCACAAGGTTTTCACACACTGTTGCTGGTATTTTGGCCCATTCCTCCATGCAGATCTCCTCTAGAGCAGTGATGTTTTGGGGCTGTCGCTGGGCAACACGGACTTTCAACTCCCTCCAAAGATTTTCTATGGGGTTGAGATCTGGAGACTGGCTAGGCCACTCCAGGACCTTGAAATGCTTCTTACGAAGCCACTCCTTCGTTGCCCGGGCGGTGTGTTTGGGATCACTGTCATGCTGAAAGACCCAGCCACATTTCATCTTCAATGCCCTTGCTGATGGAAGGAGGTTGTCACTCAAAATCTCACGATACATGGCCCCATTTATTCTTCCCTTTACACGGCTCAGTCGTCCTGGTCCCTTTGCAGAAAAACAGCCCCAAAGCATGATGTTTCCACCCCCATGTTTCACAGTAGGTATGGTGTTCTTTGGATGCAACTCAGCATTCTTTCTCCTCCAAACACGTCTAGTTGAGTTTTTACCAAAAAGTTCTATTTTGGTTTCATCTGACCATATGACATTCTCCCAATCCTCTTCTGGATCATCTAAATGCTCTCTAGCAAACTTCAGACGGGCCTGGACATGTACTGGCTTAAGCAGGGGGACACGTCTGGCACTGCAGGATTTGAGTCCCTGGAGGCATAGTGTGTTACTGATGGTAGCCTTTGTTACTTTGGTCCCAGCTCTCTGCAGGTCATTGACTAGGTCCCCCCATGTGGTTCTGGGATTTTTGATCACCGTTCTTGTGATCATTTTGACCCCACGGGGTGAGATCTTGCGTGGAGCCCCAGATCGAGGGAGATTATCAGTGGTCTTGTATGTCTTCCATTTTCTAATAATTGCTCCCACAGTTGATTTCTTCACACCAAGCTGCTTACCTATTGCAGATTCAGTCTTCCCAGCCTGGTGCAGGTCTACAATTTTGTTTCTGGTGTCCTTTGACAGCTCTTTGGTCTTGGCCATAGTGGAGTTTGGAGTGTGACTGTTTGAGGTTGTGGACAGGTGTCTTTTATACTGATGACGAGTTCAAACAAGTGCCATTAATACAGTTAACAAGTGGAGGACATAGGAGGCTCTTAAAGAAGAAGTTACAGGTCTGTGAGAGCCAGAAATCTTGTTTGTTTGTAGGTGACCAAATACTTATTTTACCGAGGAATTTACCAATTCATTCATTAAAAATCCTACAATGTGATTTCCTGGATTCTT